ACAATGCTGAAGGATGAGTGCTGTATGGGGCTGGGATTGATGATTCTGTGTAAGTTTAAAAAATAATTTTTTTTGCTTCACAAATTTTAAACGCGTTTTTCTTAAAACTACTTTTTCGAAGTCCGTGTTCACTGCCATTTGAAAACTACTCGACCGATTCATTTTAAATTTCGTACACATTTTTTTCATGTAAAATACCTCTCCCCTACGTTTAGTAAAAAATTTTTTTTTAACATTAAGGGTGTTTCCCACCCACAAAATGGCAAAAATTTTAGTCGAAAATAACGGTTCACACTTTAGATGACCGCCAAAAATTTTTAAATTAAAAAAAAAATAATTAGAGAACGTTGGGGGGAAGATTTGTTTATAATTTAACTAAATTTTTATGGTTTTTCATTTTCAGATAATTTCCAGCCGAGTTACAGTGAACACCGCAAATTGTTTTTTTTTCAAGACGTCCTGGGGGAAGCTCTGTCACGGGCTAATGGTTTAATATTTTTGCATGAAAAATTTATAGAACATAGTCAAAACTATGCTCAATAATGTATAGAAGGTTTGAATAAAATTGCTCAATCGATATTTGAGATAAAAAATCACAAAAAAGTGTTTTTTTTTACGCTGAAACCCAGACCCCTCCCTTAACAAATATAAATAATGCTGTGAAGCGGGAAAGAATAGGAGTTAGGAATAATTTATTACGTGAAGCATTCCAACATTCACGTAACAGGATAATTGGTAGGAAAGGATTGAGAAAGGATTGTGGAGAGGATCATCTTAATGTGAGTGTATAGAATATGCGAGAAAAAATTATTAGATAGCTCGGACTGGGATTCGAACCCAGAACCTTCCGAAGACATGTCGGCTACTCTACCATTTGAGCTATCCGGTCTATACTAAATTTCCTTTCACTTATTCTATATACATTAAGCCACACCGTCCATCTTACGGTTAGCATTTTTAACAAATATAAATAATGCTGTGAAGCGGGAAAGAATAGGAGTTACGGATAATTTATTACGTGAAGCGTTCCATTATCGTAATAGATAATGGAGCTTTGGTTTTTTTTACCATATATTTGTTATTATACTTTTACGAAATAAAAATATACGAAATAAAAAAAACTATACTTGTTTTTTAATTTCTTTTGTTTAAAAAAAATTGATTTTCTCGATGTTAAACATGTTTAACTTTTGATTCTATACTTTTTTCTTTTTTTTTTAGGATTCCCGGAAATTTTTGGACCGGTGTTATAAAAAATACGACAAAAAAAAATTTTTTTTTTTTAATTGAAAAGAAAAAATAGAAATCGAAAAAATACCCTTCTGAAAATTTTATGATATCGGTAGAAAATGTCAAAGTTTCAAATGAGAAAAAGAAAAAAGAAACTAAAAATGGTATTCATTAAAAAATTCGGAGTTTTATCTGAAAATTTTAAAAATAACGATGAAGATAGCTTTGAATAATTTTTTTATATTTTTTTCCAAAAAGAACACTTAATAACAAAAATTTTGAAAAAAAAAAACGTCCCGATAAGTTAATTTTTGAAAAAGTTATGGCAATTTAAAAATAAAAAAGCGGTTTTTTTGAAAAATTCGTAACTTTTTTTTTGGTTGGGTAAAAAAATTTGAAAAAATTATGAGTCGTTTTTGATAGAGTAGAAAAAGATGGTAAACTTTCAGCAAAATCAAAAGGGGTCAGGGTCAAAAGTGGTCGATTTGGCGTGGAATGCCCCATATAATTTATTTAATGCCGTAAGATAGACGGCGGAGTTCCTAGAGTTCACCTTTACAAGCATGGTATGTGAGTGTATTCCGTACATGCTTGTAAATTAAATATATAATATATAATATAATAATAATAATATTATTATTATTATTATATTATGTGATATTATATGATATTATATAATATGATACAAAAATTATCTAAACTATTATATAAAACGATATATAATTGCACATAATCTTTTTCACCCGGGAGGACGCAAAATTTTAGACAAATATCGCCCGTATGACAAATAATATATTATGGCTGCTACATAAGAACAGCATCCCACTTTGCGGTTACCATTAGGACAATCGCAACAATAACGCTGAATGCTGTTATAATCAGTACCATTAGAAATGTAGTCAATGTAAATACGATAGACTTTACTGTTTTTATGTTTTGATTTCACTTTTGCTTTAATTATGTTTGGTGCTGATTTTACATATTGTATGGATAGATTATTTTGCTCATCTAATAGTTCGGCCAAGTAAGATAAAGCCTGTGAAAATTGATAAGAACCCGTAAAGAAAATCTTGAGTTGGTCTTCACTCAAACGCAGAAAATCAAGCAACTCAAATGCCGTCAAAGGTTTAAGCATAGATTTTCTTCGATTCCAACGCTGACTTAAAACTTCTTGACTCAGAATATTTTCTACACCCATCTTACTTCTCATATATTGTACTATTATGTTGTTTTCTGCCCCATCTGAATTAAGTCGTTTGCCATAAGTATTATGCAAAAAACCAACAATTTTACACAGCAGTCCCAACTTAGGCAACATTTTATTGTCAATACAATTAAGTAATAGTATATTACACACCGAGGGAAGTAAAGTAAGAAATGTCTCAGATCACATGTAATTGTTGATCTGAGGCTTTCTTATTTACTTCCCGAGGAGTGTATGCTATTTTTTTGCTCGACGAAGGCAGAAAGTGGCAATTTCGTTTAGCGCAGCGGGCCGAAATTTGACGCTTTCTGCCCGTCGAGCAAAAAAAGTTTATATTTTTGTGCAATATTACCGTGAACAGCTTCCATCACCCACCTAATTTTTGTTATTATTCTCGATGCATTAGCTTCTTCTGTACTCAGTTGAGGTTTACTACCTTTAAATGCTGGCATAAGAACAGTAAAGCCTTTTTCCTTTAAGAATTCAACAGCATCACGAAATCCACGATCAACAATGAATATGTTATTTGGTGACAAAAGTTTTCTTAAGCTAAGATCTTCCAAAACAATTTTCATAATTAAAGCATCATTTAGGATACCGTAAAAAGGCCCAGCAAAGTTAAGAAGAAAACCGTTAGTAGTGCATAATGTGAAGGGCTTGCACAGATGTGTCTTTTTCTGTCCTGAATATGATTATGATCTTCTTTGATAATAGTTATTTCTATTTTTTTGGTGTCGTATGTATGTACCATCTACAATTAAAACTAGTTGATTTCCACCAATATTTGATAGTTTCTTTGCAGTATCACAAGTATTGTTGATAAGTTCTTGACGAGAAACAGCATTATATCCAAAATGGTACGGCAAAATTTCTTTTTCAAAACTTGCAATTATTTGTGTACAATATTATGACACCCATTGTTCGTACGGTAAGCCGAAAATACTAGCGATTGTTTTATTCGAATTGCCGGTCTTAAGCTTAAATAAAAAAACAATTAAAGCTTGTGTAACAGGACGAGTACTTGAATCTCGCATTGATTTAAGTAACGATCTAAGATTTATTATATTTTCCCAAGATAGTCCAGTCAAAGCGTTTACTTGATTTTCGGACTTATTAAATTCATTAATTCTTTCAAAGATTGATAATTGTGACCTATCTGCCAGTGCGTTAAAAAATAGTATTAATTCTGTTTTTTTCAATTTTACTGGTGTTAGAAACAACCCGTAAACTTAATAATTCATCTTCGTAAAAATTATTTCTCAGTAAGTACGTCGAACAACAACGATCACCATTTGGTATGAATATTCGTTTTTTAATGAAAACATTTATTCGTATTGCTAAAGATATTATCTTAAGATCAGTTGTCTTCCGACATATAATGCAATATTTATGAGTAGATACAATACGTTGAAATTGCATTTCTAAATAATCATCTCTCTGATTGCATTTAGATGTAACATCGTATTCATGACTTATATCAGAATCTTCAGAGTTAACGTCATGAGCTTCTTCTTCTACATCTGTATTTAATTGTCGCGGATCAGTTATTTCCATACTTACGGATATATTATCAGACTTTGTAGATCGTAAATTCGAAACTCTTTTTTTAGGATATGCAAGAAGCCGACATTTATTACAAAGTATATCGTCAATTACTATTGACTTATTAAAACAGTTACTGAACTTTTCAGCTTCTTCATTAGTTTTAATAACTTTCTTATATCCAGATATCTAACGAAGAAAAACATTACAGTTCTTACACTTACCTGACATCGTTATTCGCAACAAGACAATAACTTCTAATAATAAATGATAACAATTAGTTTTGAGTAGGTTAAATGTACAAAACAACGAGCTCAAAATTAGCATTGGTTCAAAAGTTTATATATTTATGTATATATTATAATGGGCCTTTCTCCGGCACTGGCGTCGACAGGGCCGGAAAGCACCACCTAAATTGGCTTACCTGGGTTTCAAAGGTAGTTGGGCGCTAGGAACTTACCGTTCCACGGTTCGAAGTCGTTGTTGATCGTCGTCGGGCGGCGGGTCGATGACGAAGAGATTGAAAATTCGAATAAACGGCGAAAGTAAAAATATTAAATCTACGTGAGCTCGGGAAAGAAAGAAACAAAAAAAATAATCACCGAATATTCAGTTAACAGTTTATTTTAGCAGTCGCCAATAATGTTCATAATTTTCTTCAAAATTCGTTTAATAACAATTTAATTCGTCGCCGAAGTGATAGAAAAAAATATAACCGTGATCAGTCGATGACTCGCAACTAATACGAAAGACTTCTATTTAATACGACGGTGACATAAGAAATCAATCAACATTCAAAATAATCGAAATGGAACATAATAATCACTAAAAAAATTAATTAAACTGTCCGTCAACGGCTCGAAAAAGTCTCGAAGTACGTTATAATTATTTATATGACGAAATAACAATTACTTTACTTCAAATTAATTAATCATTAATAATACGACGGAATAAGGAATTTATTTTTCAAGTTAAATACTCGCAATAAAAGAAAATTTAATCAGATATGATTTTAGAATCCACGTTGTATCACATTTTCTGTTTCAAAGTATTTGATTATGTAATTTATATTTTTTTCTTAAAAACATGGTATACAGTCTGATATCGGTAATTTAGTCTGGACCAGTGACAACAAATGACAATTTAATATATCGGTTTGTTTATTTGAACTACATGTAAAATGCACTGAAGGAGATTACCTGACTTTGTAAATACTCTAACCACTGCTTAAAAAAATTAGAAAAACGGTTCACCCTAAAGGCCATCCCTGCAACTTCCCGCTAATTCCATACCTGGGCGCTTAAAATTGTACTTATGACATTTTTGAGATTTTTGAGCTCGAAATATAATTTATGTGATATTTTGAGCTCACTGAGTTCGAAGAGATAATATTTTGATGCATTTGAGCTCTCCTAGCTCAAAAGTCTGATAGAAGTTTCATAGAACACTATTTTTGAAATTTTCAAATCTCAATAACTTTTGAATAGATCAACCGATTTTCACGCGGTTGGCGGCATTCGACGTAGTTTTATCATCCTCATCAGTTATTTTCAGGTTTTGATTGATCGAACCAAAAATTTCGAAGTAATTCCGAAAAAACACTTTTTTCGGTTTTCTTTCGTTCACGATAACTCACGAACGAATCAACCGATTTTGACCGGACTGGCAGTGATCGACGCGGTTTTTTGATGTTAAGAGCTGATTAGTATTTGGAATTGATCGGTAAAGCCGTTTAAAAGTTATTCCAAAAAAACCACTTTTCAAAAAATTTTTTTTTGTAGTTTTTTTGCAATTTCTCATAATCTACTGATCCGAATCGTTTCAAATTTTCAAGAAATCTAAGTTTGGTCAAGCCCTTTCGAATGGCGCCAACCGCGATCAAATCGGTCAAGCCGTTTAAAAGTTATAAGCGTTTATAAACACACACACACACACACACACACACACACACACACACACACACACACACACACACACACACTCGGGGCAGAAGAGATACTGCTACCGGGCGCGTCTCCCTGAGCGGATGGGAGAACCCTCCCTGTCCTTGGATGACATTTGGATAATCTCTTAGTTGATGAGGTACAGAGGGTAGGAGTTGAATAAAATACGCTTCCGTGGACAAAACTCCCCTTTAATGGGTTGGTCACACTAACTGACCTAACAAGACGATCGGTCCCTGCTGTAACTCACTGGGAGTGTCCGGAACCTGTATCGTAGTTTCCGACGATGCAGACCACGGCTGATGTGAGCTTGCTCTGCCGAGGTGTAAGTTGCAGTAGTGGATCAGGAGCCAGTCACTTCGGGCCTTGATCAGGAAGTACGCAGTGAGTGTTAGAGATCGGAATCTTCACCGCCCCGAGCGAGTCTAGTCCGTCCGTGTATTCCGGGACTGGCTAAGTGTCGGCTAGGCCTCAGGGAACTGGGGTAGGAGTACTATCTCCGAGGGTACACCCGTTCCTAGTTATGACAACCCGCTCCACTCCGTACGATGCGCTGGTGAATCAAAAAGTATGAGTAATTTACAGGAAACAAACAAGAATAGAAACGGGCTTCATGCCCAACAAGGAGCGATTGAAGCAAGCGCTGAAATGAAGAGAACGCAAGCGTTGGAGCGCCTTGAAAAGCTGACCATTGAGCTACAAGAGTTTGTCCAAACTAAGGTCAATATCCACAAGGAGATAAAGACCAAGACAACCGGTGTAGTCAATGCTCTTGGAAGATTCAAGAAACTGGACGAGGAATGGCAGTCATCACGACGCCGCATTGAAACCGAAGTTGAGACGGAAGAAGCAATGGACACTGGAGCCGACGATGACGGTGAATCTGCTGCTGAGGACCAGGGTGAAACTGACACAAGGTCTGGAAAGAGAAAGGACCGAGATTCGCCAGAGCCAACCGACAAAGTTACAAAGAAGAAGGACCTGAAAAAAAGCCCTCCCCACCAACTGGCAGGGCAGGGCGACGAAACCAAGAAGACGACTGACTGGGAAAAAGTACAGTCTAAGAAGGAGAAGAGAAGGCTAGCTAGAGAGCAACTCTCAAAGCAGCCGCCGAAGGAGCTCAGGCCAGAGCCTAAGCAGAAAAAACCACGCAAATGGATCAGACCCGACGCACTGATCATCCGCCCGGCCGAGAAAACAAAGTATGCCGAGATTCTGCGTCGCATAAAGCAGGACGTCCCAGATGAGCAGGTTCGTTCAACTGTGGATAAGATCAACAAGACCAGAAGTGGAGACTTGTTGATTACGATTTCGAGGAAGAGCACTGACAAAGGCCAAGGTCTGCAAAAGACGATCGCGGACATCCTTAAGGAGGAGGCCAAAGTGATTTGCAAAGGGCCACAGGAGACTATCGAGATCCGAGATGTCGATGATGACACGACGAAAGAGCATATTCAGACCGCTCTAAAGAGGGAAGCTGGAGAAAGTTGTGAAATCCCACTAGAGGCAATCAAGATCTGTAAAGCCTTTAGGGGTACACAGACAGCCACAGTGTCACTACCAGCAGCTGCAGCACAAAAGTTACTGGAGGGAAACTGCAAAATAAGGATAGGCTGGTCGAATTGCCGAATGAGAGCAACGAAGAGACCCATACAACGCTTCAAATGCTGGCACTTTGGGCACATCGGATCTCAGTGCAAAAGCGAAGTCAACCGGTCTCAGCACTGCATAAGGTGCGGAAAAGAAGGACACAAAATTGCTGATTGTAAAAATCCAGCTGAATGTGCACTGTGCGTTGAACGGCACGGCGTAGAAAAGGCGACTCACCATGCAGGCTCGAATAGATGCCCCGTCTTCCAAGAAGCGCTCTAGAAGATAACAAAGCCAAGAACATGAAGATATTGCAGCTCAATCTCAAACATTGTGAGGCTGCGCATGACCTGCTCATGCAAACTATGCGCGAATTAGAGGCAGACGTAGCACATAAGTGAGCCTTATAGACACTTGAGTAATCAACCCTGGAAATCCGACAGCACTAACCAAGCCGTCATCTGGTCCTGCGGTAAATCTCCTTTTCAGAGAACAGCCAACAACAAAGAAGCCGGCTTCCTAGCAGCATGGGTAGATGGCCTCCGCATCTACAGTTGCTATGCACCACCTAGTCTCTCTAATAAACAGTTTGAAGACTTCCTTGATCGGCTAACTGAAGACGCAAGAAAACACTTTCCCGTGGCAATAGCTGGTGACTTCAATTCCTGGGCAGCAAACTGGGGCAGCAAGTTCACTAATACACATGGAAAAGCACTTCTCGAGGCAATGGCCACACTGAATGTGATCCTTCTTAACACCGGTGACACACCAACGTATACCAAAGGAGAGGCAAGCTCGATTGTCGACCTCACATTTGTCAGCAGTAGCTTAGCCCGAAGAGGTTTTTCTTGAAAAGTATTGAACATCTACATAGCCATAGTGACCATAGTGCGATACTATGGGAAATAACAACTGGCCAGAAACTAACAAGAGACAACAAGAGCGCTAGCGCGGTTGGGTGGAAAATTAAATCTCTCGACCTCACTGCTTTAATAGTAGCTCTAGAGTACGATCCGATCATCGTAGAAACTGCTGAAGAGAAGACCAAGGACCTAACGAGAAGAGTCACCCAGGCTTGCGACGCTAGTATGTCTCGGAAACGTGACATGAACTCAAGACCTTCGGTGTACTGGTGGAACGATCACATTAGCACTCTAAGCTCAGAGTGTCTTAAAAAAAGAAGAAAGTCTCAGCGTACGGAAGTGTACGAAATCTCCAGAGGAGTGCCACAGGGATCAGTCTTAGGTCCTCTGCTATGGAACATCATGTATGATGGCCTCCTGAAAATAACATTGCCCACGGG